TTTGATTTTAAGACAAACACTTTTTCAAACAGAAACTTTTTTTAATTATTTTTAGTTTAGTCTTTTTTTTTGTTTACGTGGAAAAAATTTTTTTTTCTTTAAAACCCATTGGTGTGATTAAATACCACCAGGTTTGGAAAGAGAGCTCTATTTGTTTGAAAAATTTATGATCAAGACTTTTTAGTTTGGGTACAATGTTGCATGACCAGCGCAATTTGTCATTCAAAGTGTGATCAGCGCAATTCTGAAAAAGTGATAAATTGGCCATGCAACCTTGCCTGGCTAGGAAGGCTGGCTTTTTTTAGGGGGGTAAATAGTGTTGCCCGTTTACTGAATTGGTTTTATTTAAGCATAAAATGGTCGACTTTCTGATAGTTAAACACATGGACCTGGCTGTTTGCCAATGGTTTTTATTTTAGAGTAACTGTATCATTTTTCAAATCTAAGTGCATCATGACCCAGTATTAATTAGGACCTCATTTTTGAGTAATTAGAGCAGAGTTCCTGAAAAGTCATTACTGATTGCAGATTATTATGTTCTGAAGGTTACAACAATCACTTGAGAGAGCCGAGTTATTATTGGAATGACACGTACCATCAACCATGACTGCACTGCCTGCAATCACAACTCCTTTACAGTGACAAATACAAAATATCTAGAGCCAGGGGTGAGCATGCACATCTGACCATCTATGGCATACAACTAAATACATAATCTATATGGAAACAGTGTCAAAAAGTACCAATTCAAACTGATGGCCAAGCCACAGATCAAGTCCTAGTGTAATGGTGCTCAATACCAGACCACACCAGCACTATGCTGCCCTAGGCATGCAGAAACCATAACTATTCTTCTGTACAGGCTACACTCCTTTCTTTTTAAACCATCTCACTTTTTTTTTTTAAATGAAAACAAGAACATGCTATTAGAGACAGAACACTGTCTGCAAGCTACCCTGGGCTATACAGTACACTAATCAAGATAATGTAGACATAGAGCAGGTGGAAATATGTAGTTGCCTGAGACTTGTGACTCCTCTAAGCAGAATTATTGTCTACTCCTAATATTAGTTATTGTGCTGGATTAAGTGTCCAAAAGTGTAAAGACAAAGTGGAATAGAAAAACAGACTGTCAGTGCTCTACTTAAAGTATATGTAAACCCTTACTATGTAAAACAACCCATTCAGATTAAAACAGAAATGAAAGGCAAAACATTTGTGTATAGATATAAAAAAAACATTTTAAATACATTTCCCCCTCTCTCCCCCCCCCCCCCCCCCCCCCCCCCTTGTTTTATAAGTGATCACATACCCTCTAAGCTTGTTATGCAGCTGAAAACAAAGAGCTGGGAGAGGAGAAAGAGCAGCAAACTGAACTCCCAAGTAAATGGTTGCGCAAGGGGGATGGGAGGGAAGGCGTGTCAGCAAAAGTATGAACATTGGAGGAGAGCACACAGAGAACTGACCATGCTGTGTTCTCCTGCCTAGTGTAGTCAGTTTTTATTAGGAAAACACTGGGGACTAGCAGGAACACCAGGGATTTCACTTAAAGGAAGCAATACAAAGAGAAAAGGATACTTTTTCATACAAGTACATGGTACAGCAGGCAAGTATATGGAATTTGGGGATTACATACTCTAATTCTATGATTTTTGTACCCTGATTCTTTAGGGGTTGGCCTTTGTGTAACTTACAGTAAATAAATCCTTGACTGAAATAAAGTAATAGGATTCATAGAATCCTATTTAGCCAGCGTACTTGCTAAATCCTTCATTTTATTTTCATAGTCAAAGCTGTGTCTGTCAAACATAACTCCCCTACAACCTAACCTCCTATTGAAGTCTTAGTAACAGGATAAAAAGGCAGAAATTCAGCTTGAACAGCATTAAAGTAAATTTGTCATGAGAAAAACAGCTGGACCACCATTGCCAACTTCCCTGTGAAAATGGCAGTTGTTAGGTAATAGACTATTATCCTTTCCCACAGGCTCCAATACTTTCTGATCCTATAAAGAATGCAGATCAGGAAAAGTTATTAATGTGCCCTTGATGTGGGTCAGTGACTCAGTACTGAAGAAATTGGGAGGGGAGGGCTGGAGGAAGATGAAAATTTCCTGCATTGGTAACACTAACAAGATATTTTGGGCTGGTGGCTCTTAAAAAACACTTCACCATTTGGACATCTTTCAGAGAGGGACCTGCAGTCAGTGACAGCTCCAGGGCATTATATATACTGATTTCCTTTGTGGCTTTTAAATAGATGGTAAGCTCTAAGGAGCTTTAAATTTGTATTGTAATTGTACTGGCTGCCCTTTTGTTGTAAAGCGCTGCGTAAACTGTTGGTGCTATATAAATCGTGTATAATAATAATATTAATAAAATGTGGCTGAATGTCGGGAGTTACAAAGGAAGCTTATGATGGAACAGAAATCTGTTCCTACCATAAAAAGGCCTATTTGGCTGTGTTTGTCACCCAGGCCAAAGCTTTCCAGTCCTTAAGCCCTTCGCGCTGACATCACACAAATATACAGCCTCACAGAACTGGACTTTTTTCCGTGGAGCCGCATATTTGCGTACCTGTCTTTGTGCTGAGAGCACGCCGCATAGCACACTACCAGCACAAAGACCGGGGCAGGGGGGGGACTGACCATGTGGAAACTCGGGCACTGCCCGAGGGCCTGGGGTCAGTAGGGGGCCCCATGAGATGCCCCTGGTACCTTTTTTATAGGCTTTTTTGAGTTTGGGCAAGGACACAGTGGCCCCATGATCCCCTATTGCCCGGGGGCCCCATGAGCACACTGCCCCTGGACCGGGGTGTCACTGAGAGCCCCGCGTCCAGTTCTAACGATCGGGACCCAGGACTCCCGATTCCAGGTCACATGATCATTGTGATAGCCTCTGATTGCCTATCACAGTGATCAGTCACTGTACAGCCCGGCCCCCTTTTTTTTTTTTTTTCCTCTCTATGAATGGAGGAGAGAGATGCATAGTATCTCTCTAACTCCTAGCATAGAGGGGGAAAATTTTTTTTTGTTAAAAAAAAAAATAAATATATTTAAAAAAACAAAAAAGAAAAAAAATACCTAGATCAATGTTTGATCTAGTTCAATTCCAGGGTAAGTGTTTGGGTCAAGATCAGGATTTTTTTTTTTTTTTTAATTGGTATCAGTGTCACTTAGTGTCAGTGTGTTTTAGGTAAAAAACAAAATACACACTATTGTTTCTGGGCTGTACTACGGGTAAAAAAAACCCCATACACATATATGGTATCGCTGCGATTGTCAAGAGCTGGAAAATGTATTTTGCATTGTCCTTTGTTGGTAGGTTATGGTAGTAACAAGAAACACAGCTAAATTAAAAAAAAAAAAAAAAATTTTTTTACTATTTTGGGCCAGATTTCCTTTGATAATAACAAAACAAATCATGGAGGTATCCATTACCATTTACCCCCAAATGAAAGCTCAATTTGTCCTGAAAAAAAACAAGGTATAATCCACCTGGATGTACAAAGTAGTTGTGATGATATGTACGGTTTTACTAACACATGTCAACATTGGAAAATTGTGCTTAGGCATTTAGATTTGTTTAACCCTTAGGTGTGAAGGGGTTAAAGACAGTCAGTAGGACAGCAAGACAACAAACAATTTCAGTAGAGGTAAGCAATGGCAGTGTCCCTGTTTCTTTATTTGCAGGTTACCTTTAAAGGCAAAGTTCACCTTTATAACGTGTTATATGTTACACCTGTATTTAGGGTGTAACATGCAATATGTTCCTAATTCCCTCCACACTCTGAGCCCTCCCATCCCCTTGACAGCATTCTGGGATTCTTCTTCCCTGCAGCCACTGTTACATTTAAATTTGGCGCAGCTGTGCTGCACAGCCATGTCATTCATTCATAGAGATCTGTGAATGAATAAATTACAAGTCCCATCCTTCACCACAGCAGACAGACTTGCAGTTTCAAAGGACTATGAGTGCAGCAATCCCTTGTAGTACATTGACATTTCCTCCAGCTTTCTAACAGAAAGCCCATATGGAGGTATGACAGAAAGCTAGAGGGAGTGTCTGCAAAAAGGGACATTGCACCTGCTATCCCCTGATCAAGAGTGCAATGCTTTGCAGGCTGCATTAGAAAAAAAAAAAATAATAAATGCACTTTATTTTTGCCTGAAAAAGCATGTGAATTCATTTTTTTTAAAAAGGTGAACTTAGCCTATAAAGGTCCACTACTACATAAAACTGAATATTCTGATAACTGTATGTTGTTAAAACATTCAATGATAGTATTCCGTACATGGATTATATTTTCTTCTAGAATTTTTCTCTACTTTTACATGCAGACCAAGCTGACTAGCAAAAGTGACCATAACAGCGGTTGAGGCAAACGAGAACAATCGCCGGGGATTCTTACAGCGATCACCTTTTAATGCAAATTTTTCAACCATTCAAGCACCCCTGCCAGTGTTATAGTTTGTCCCAGCCACTGTCACTTTTGTTGCAGAATAGAAATGTACTCATATATTGTACGCTCTTACTACAGTGCTACTACTAATAAACCCAGGCTGTCGTGTATATGCTCCTAGTTTGTGCTTGGACAGCAAAAGGAGAAGCAGCACAGCTCATCCATCTCCCACTATCACCATGTTTGTCAGCACATGAACTGAGTGGCTCCTTGCACTGCTTCTTCCTCTCATACTCTGAGCTCTGCTGTTCAGGAGCTGCAAAAGGTTAATGCTAAGTGAAATTCAGGTAATGGTGTATTAATGAATACAGAGCTTTAATTTGTGTCTTTTTATATATGTCTAGAGCTCAGCATCACAGCAGAGAGTATTTTTTTTTTAATCAGATCTTTTTTATTAGTGTTTTTAATGTTCCATACAAATGTACAACCTGTGTGTGATAAAAAAAACCATACAAAAAACCAACATCAGTGGCCATACAGCGACAGCAATACCCTCATCAAATAAGTAACATTTTAAAATAAGTACATGAATCACTTACTCCTCCAGGTGAATTGCAGCCATCTGATCCGGGTGCAGACTCACATGACACAGGGGTTGCTATCTGGATTGGAAACAGTTGACAGTTTTAGATTAGGTAGTACAGCATCTGCTAAATCTCAGGATTTAAGATGTCCTAACAATTTACAGCCAAACTAAGCAAAACTAATTTGCCGTAATGGAAATTCAATCATATTTCTTGCTGATTAGATTTCACAGATTTATTAATTTTATTAATTTATATGTGATCAAATCCATCCATCCAACGAACACACAGGTGCATTCCTTCATCTCACAGGTCTCTTGTAAGAAAATGTGAGATTCTCTACCCTTAGCTGTCTTAATTGCTCCCCATAACAAAAAGCCATCATAGAAGCTATAGAACTGACCAAGCACTGTAATCTCACTTGAGCTGGAATTTGAATTTTAAGTTTCCTATTACAAAACATCCCACTATGAACATATAAAGGGAGCTCCAAACCTTTTAAAGGGAATTTTTACAATGTTATCCCCTTTAAGGTGTATGGGTAATTTTACTATTCACCAATTTGCTGTTTATATTTTTAATATTTATCACAGGTATTTATACAGTGCTGATAATTTACGCAGGATTATTTCACATTCCCTGCTCTCAGAGAGCACATATACTAGGGCCAGTTTGGAAAGGAGCTAATAAGGCTACCAGCAAGATTATGGAGTGTTGGAGGAACCTGAAATACCTGGAGGAAACCCATGCAAACGCAGGGAGAACATGCAAGCTTCATGCAGATAGATGTCCTGACTGGCAGTCAAAACTAAAAACCCCAGTGCTGCAAGGCAGAAGTGCTAACCACTTAGCCACTGTGCTGATCAACATCAAGTGGAACAAAGAACATAAAAAGCCACTGAAAACATTAAATCGGAGCTCCACCCAAAAGGGGAAGTTCCGCTTTAAGCCTTTTTTCCTCCGCTCCCCATTAAGGATTGGCACCTTTGGAGAGCGGGTACCCGAATTTGATAGGTACCCACTCCCACTGCGATCGCCTAGGTCTTTTGGAACTCGTGACCAGTCCAAGAAGACTACAGGGCCATTCGCAAAGTGAGGAGCTTCTCGCGCATGCACAGTGGACACCTGGCTGTGCAAGCTGTCACAGACGGGCGCCCATAATGAAGATGCCGGGGAGAGAAGACGACCAGTGAAACCAGCCATATCTGTATTTTAAAAGTCAGTTTTTGAAGCTGCTTTTTTTTTCAGCTGGAACTCCTCTTTAAGGGATCAGAAGAATCCCTTAAATCCCTTGGTTTGACCACACTGAGGGAACAGCCAAACACCATTGTTTTTTTAGGAATATTCAGTCATTAAGCTTCAGCCGTATATTTTCTTGCGGTTAGCTGCGCTTTCCCATAGAGTTCTATTAGGTCTTGCGGTTTTGGTGCACTTTCTGAAAGGACACCAAAGTTGCAGCATGCAGGAGTTTTGATGCGCTTTCTGAAAGTGCACCAAAACCAAAAGACCTAGCAGAACGTTATGGAAGAGCATAGGTAACCCACACCAAACCTGAGGGTACACTGCGATGCTTCTGCTGTGCTGTCAAACTGCACCGCATCAGTCTGAAAGCAGCCTTAGATGCCCCAGTAACCAATTATTGTTTCCCTTTCATGCTTCAAGGGCATAAAATGAAAGGGAGGACTTGTTTGGCTTTCGTGAACAAAATGGACCACTTTCATTTCATTTTAGTTCTGTTGCTCCATACGTCTGGTGTTCTTAGAATTGCAATACCAGAATTTTGAAGCTTATGACATGAACATCACAGTTCTCTTTTAACAAGAACATTACTTCTAAATAAATGGTCCGCATGTTAACATAATTAATTGCAGTTGGCTCCTATAATTAATGCTATGATTTGCAAGGCCATCATATTTTGTGATAATTACCGGCGAGTCTGGACAATGGTCTTCTTCGCGGGAGAAGGAACTGTTAAACGCTCGGAATGTTTCACTGTTCTGTTTGTGCTTTTCAATCGTTGCTTGGATGACCTGATTAAATGAAAATCATACATTCAAAAAAATTATTCAAATCATTAATTCATAAATTTGTAATTTATCTGCCAAAGTGGGAAGGTTACCAATTACTCAGGATAAAATATATAAATCTAAACCCAATCACTGACGTTTCATATGAGCTTTATGTCACTTTCCAACTTGTCCGTTCAATAGAAGCGAATGTAAATCAACTGTCAAACAGGGACTGCCCACACACTGGTAGAAATTTGGCCAGCCCCTGCAGATCCATGGCTAGATCTAGGGGCGCGCTGGGGTTTTTAGTTGAGCCCCCCCCCCCAAAGCCAACCCTAACCTGCCACTATGCTGCCCTAACCTGCCAATAAATTGACACAATACCACCCTCATCTGATACTTTACTGACCTAGCTTTACATTATACTGCCCTAGCCCAACACTATACTGATCTCAGTTATGCATTTTGTGGGGAGGAGGAGCTCTGCTGCCTGTGCCCAGGCTGTGTGCAGTGCAAGGATGGAAGATGAAGCTGTGCCCCTGTCCTCTGCCTTGCCAGCAGTGACCCCGTCCTCTGCCCTGCTTACCGTCCATCCTTTGCCCCCCTAACATTTTTTACTGCACCCCCACATCAGACAGGCTAGATCCGGCCCTAAGCAGATCCCTCTAAAGCTACCCTAAGACTTAACATTGTTTATACTTGCCCATTTTCTGAAAATTGATTGGCAGTGGATTGCTTTTCAGAATGCAGCGAAGCAGCAACTGTCAGGTGTTCAGATGGCAATTCTGTCGCCTCTTAAATGTCTGAGGGGTTTTTTTTTTTGCTTCTTTTTGTCAAATGACAAATGGTGCAATGGAACTAATGCACCGCAACCACTATGCCGCCTGTTGGCTCAATGTGCTGACTTAAATTTGCCGAGGATACCATGCTGTGTGAATAGCACCCTCCAACTGTTCAGTAAATTCAGTGAGAAGATGGAATGGAGGGGATGGCGTTGGGGTTGAAAAAAACACGACTCAACTGCCTGTTTTTGAAGCGCCGCCAACGTCAGCCACCTGCGTGAAAGAGGCCTAACAAAATCATTACTGATTAAGGAACATTTTTGATGGAGGTCTTTAATGAATATTTTTTTTAACATAAGTAATACAGCATATGGCCAAAACAATGTAGAGACCTGGACCATCACACCTATATGGGTTTGTTAGTCATCCTTTTTCTGAATATATGGGCATGGTATGTTAGTGGGACTTTGTGCCCATTCAGCTAAAAGAGCTACTGATGCTGGACGAGATGACGTGGCTTGCAAACCGCATTCCAATTAATACCAAAGGTGTTCTGTAGGGTTGAGATCAGGGCACTGTGCAGGCCACACCATACTCCTCAAACCAGGTCCTTTTGGACACGGCATGTGCACAAGGGCAAAGTGACACTACAACAGGAAAGAGCCTTTCCCAGCTGGACGTACACATCTGTCTAAAATGTCTTCATATGTGGTAGGATTAACTGTACCCTTCACTGGAAAGACCTGAACTCAACAATTTAGTGGGTTGTCCACATACTTTTGTTGGTGAATCGTAATTACTTAGTATATTTTTGATGACTCCGTCAAAAAGTTGAAAAAAATCATTAACGGCCGGTTCAGACCATGCCCAGATCTGAATCACACAGGAACTGTGCATTCACATGTGGCTCTGTGCAGCATGATTTCAAGCCCATTCATTTTGAACGGACTCAAATCGCACCGTGCCAAATGTAGCGAATACACTACTTTTTGATACGCACTGTAACCAGATCACATGGTACAAAAAGTATCATGCCGGCAGGTGTGGGCAAACACACTGCTTTTGCGACCTGCGTTTGAGGTGTCACTAACATTTATTGATACCTGCTGCAGATCGCAAAAACAGTGCGTTTTGCATGCAGGTTGATTGCACAACACGTTCCTATGTGATTGTAGTGCAGGTATGGTGTGAATGGGCACTGAAACAAGTAAAAAGTAAATTTTTAGCAACTCTACAAATGACTGATAATGCAAGCAAGCATCCAAATAAATATCGCAGGCTGCACAGTGTATCTTAGTATCTGCTAATATATTTGTTCTAGGATGTACATTATACAGAAACATTTTAAATACACATGCTGATCAATCTCTACATTACACGCCACATAATATGATAAGACAGTGTAGTCATATCCTTCATTATCATGCACACAAGTAAGACAGATCTCATTACAGCAGGCTGTCACAGCCATCTTGCCATGAATATACTGGTTGTGGTGAATGTGACTGCTCCTGCTGGATAAAGTGGTGTTTACTGCAATGTGACAATGTAGGAGCAGAAATAGATTCACATTTAGAAAATGATCTGTGCCAAAAAAGGGGATCACTTACCCAAAACCCTTAAAGCATATCCAAGCCTAAAAACAAAATTGATAGTATTTTGGCTGACTGGTCCTTAGTGTGGTGGCTGCACTATTTTTCTTTCTTTCTGCATTATTTTCACCTTTTAATCCTCCAATTAACACATTCCCTGTCCTATTGTAACAACTGTACTGAACTGTATGGTGTTGAGACTAAAAACACCTTCCTTTTCTTGTTTAAGCTCACTTTATCTAGGACCTCAAAGAGCATTTGAACTTTCATATTTAGACTCCATTCCCACTTGTGCAACTTATCATGCAACTTTGGACACAAAGTCGCATGCCAAGTCGCAGCCTATTGTTTTCAGGGACACCCATTTGGATCTATGTGACTTAAAGTCACAGCAACCTTGAAAAGGTTCCCGAATACTTGGTGCGACTTGAGTGGCAGAAAGTGTAACTTTTGTGCGATTTTGGAGTCGCACAAGTGTGAAAGGAGCCTAAATTAACTAAATGCATTCCATATTCATAAAAAACTTGTTAGAATGCAGCCGAGGATATATAGCTGTGCAACCAGCTAATCTAATGCTCCCTACTGATTGAAGAGCTCTAGCTATAAAAGCTGGATATAAAACACACATTTTTTATTTCTCTTTTGCTGTGTTTTTGTATTCTGACAGCGGGACTAACTTACCCCTGCCCACCCCTCACGGACTTTCCCCTCCTCCTTCCTGTTAGAACACACTGATCAGCATTTGCAGGCATTGGTTGCAAGCCCTGATCCCATTCTGATGTTCATGCGTGACCGTTTCACAGAAGCTAGTCGTTATACCGCCTTCTGTTGAACAGAGAAGTGTACACATGTAGTGAAAGTTGCCCAGTTCTTGCTGAACCAGCCTATTTTTGGTATGTGTGTTATGTACTTCTTGGACTTTGGGACTTTTTGGACATTTGTTCTATATAGCCACTATATGAGCCACTAGTGCGCTGAGAGAGTCTTTTATATTTCGGTATGTGTGTACCCATCTTAACTTGCAGAAGGTGTGTTGGAGCCACACAGAAATCAAAGGTCCTTCTCTACATAAAGCTGACAGAGGACAGGCTTTTCTATTCAGGCTATGGATGCTTTTTAAAGAATAACTGTAAAACTGCACGCTTTGATACATTTTATGAAACTTTTTTCTAATCAAACTTCCTAACTACAGTATGTGACTTTATCAAACTGGACTCCAGTTAAAGTGGTTCTACAGTTCCCTGTGTGAAAATTAAAAGTCAGGAGATACAAATACTGTAGCTGCTGACTTTTAAAAAACAGTTACTCGCCTTTCCAGGGATCCAGCACGGTGTTCACCTGATTTGGTTTCTTCACTGCTCTTTGGGTCCAGGTACCGGCATCCTAATTGTGGGCAGCCAACTGTGACTGCTTGGAGCTTCACAGCCAGCTGCCCACTGCGCATGTGGAAGCCACTCTATACCACGTGAATGGTCCAGCAGTCTCTTGGGACCTGCGGCGCGTCCCAAGAGGCTGTAGGTAGGGGAGGCAAACTTCCGCTCCAATTGCCTAGACGCCTAGTGGGGGCAGGTATCTGTCAAAACCAGGTACTCGTTCCTCCCCCACTCTCAAAAAAAAAAAAAAACATTCCTATTTGACAGGGGTGGGGGTGATGAGGAACAGCAGAATGTCCCCCTTTGGGTGAAGTTATGCTTTAAAATCATCACTTGTCCCCCACAGATGACCTTCTTTATAGTACAATCTCCCACTGGAAAAAGAAAAAAAACATCTCTTAAAGTCCTATTTTATAGCAAAGAAAAAGTAGAGGATACATAACCTTCCTCCTTCGAGGTAAAGCACATCAGAGATGGCATTCTTCATCCTCTCTGAAATTTCTGTTAGTTATTGCTATCTACACAGAGGTGAGAAGGTGACGCTAATGGCAACTCTAAAGTGGCTATGGAGCAGCAGTGTCAGTTTCCTCTGTAGATACTGCTATGGTAGGCTGGCTTCCATTACTAAAATGCAGGTTTAACAGCAACAGCAGCAGTAGTAAAAAAAAATACGAGTGGAAGATTGTAGGTACATAATAGTAAAGCAAATCAACCGTTACATAAACCTTTCTGCCTATAGGGTCAAAATTTAAAATATAATTCTATCTAATGGCCTATTTTGATAAGTTCAGGGGCTTTAGTATTATTTCTATTGCTTCCATGTTTCCAATGATATCTGGACAAGAGTAGTGCATTTCTCTCTTCACTGAAATCGTTTCTAGTAGCTATTGTCTAGCACTTTAATGTTATATAATCAACTACCGGTAACTGTGGTGTACTTACCTGGATCCATTCTCTTTTCTCCTCTTCAGTCCTACAAAGAGAAACACCAACTAAGTTACTTAATTTGATGACCTCGAATACAATAAAGAAACTGATCTGATGCATTTTATGAATGCATCTTAACCTGACCGCATAACATGAATATGTTAGGTGAAAACGACTGATCACACAAGTCAGTGTAATACTGTGCAGTGAATTCAAAGCCTTCACCCTTGTGTTACAGCAGATGTACATTTATCAGAGCTTTATTGTGACATAACATACTATGCCAACACAGCTGCTGATACAAATGCCAAACCACTTTCCAGGGACACTTGACTGCTTGGCAGGCACATGTAACACATAAGAAGTCTTCCTTACAGCCAAATTGTGGCAGTTTCATATCCATCATTATGGGCTCACTGAACCTGGATAAACTTCAAAGGCACTGTACTTCATTACTGCTAGGGCAAGATATTTATAAACACTATCCATGTTTCCCTTGTCATATTTCAATGCCCCTACTCCATGCACAGATTTAAAGTAGATTTAAACCTCTGAAATGTAAAATGAACAAAGCACATCCTTATATAGTGTGTACTTGCATCTATCCAACACATCTTAGTTTGATTTCTGTCTGCTCTGTCATTCCTCCGCTATCTGCAAAAGTCACTTTTGACAGTCTATGGTAGCCATTCTCAACCAGGTTTCCATGGAGCTCAAGGGTTCCTCCAGAAGTTGCTAAGAGTTCCTTAATCTTTGGTTGATTGACCTGTAATTAGATGGTACTTGCATAGTGCCAGGGTCAACACCACTTGGCAGAGGCAGATACATGAGCCCAATGGTCTTTCTAGCTGTCTGTAAGGGTTGTATTCTGATCAGTACTTTAAGTGGGGCATTCTTCATACTAGACACCACTGTAAAGGGTATTCTTCCTAATAACCACCAATTAATAGTTTTTTTGCAAGGGTTCCCTGAGACACAAAGTATTTCAATGGTTCCTATTGGGTAAAATGGTTGAGAAAGGCTGGTCTATGCAGACACCAAGCAATCCTTGAAGATGGCCCAGCCCCACTCCAGCACACAGCAGATCATTCACAGTCTCAGCTGTGCATGTTTCCCTATGAGACTGTGTAGAGTGGGTGTGTCCATTCTGTGTATCACACGAGACTAATCACTTCAGTAGGTATACATAAGGGTTTACAACTTGGTCAGCAACCCGTCGTTCATGATCTACCGATCAACCGCAGCTGGTTAGATCGTGTCTCTGTATTGCCAACCCTAAACTAAGCTGCTCCTCCCGGCGCAGTCAGAGAAAAAGCTTGGCCAAACAGGAGAAGTTCTGCTGCAGGGAAGGAAAGAGCTTGGCAGGTGGAGTGGTGGAGGAGAGAGCCAAGCGGGTGGAGTGGGGTAGGAGACTTGTTCTTGCACTGAGCAACCTCTCCAAATGAACCTCAAATTATGCAGTGTCCCTGCATCTTCTGTCCTACAGCCGAGGGGCAGACAAGACGATAGGGTGAGAACAGCTAGGGACAGGAGAGGAAGTGTTGGTGCTGATGGACACTGAATGGTCACAGGGCTGAGCAAGGCAGGAGGAGGAGGAGAGCACTTCCTAGTAGCCAGACTGCTGTCTCTAGTGAGGAAAGATGCTGCTCTGGCCTGTGCCACCTATTGGGGACCCTCTGTGCCCTCCGCCCTGCTCACCTCACAACACTGACACCCAGGAACAGACACACACTGCCCCCCACCCCTCCCCACAACACCTGCTGACACTGACGAAAAAATCTCCAGAAATTACTAGGACCAGCAGAGGGGCTGGCCGGAGTAATCTGTCATTACCAGGGGAGGACTCTATTTTTATATTAGGGGAGAGAAGGCAGATAATTTGTTGCTAGAGGAGACATTTGTCATTGGGGGGGGGGGCATGTGCCCTGGGTGCTACCATCCCTATGCTCCAGGTGGTCCCTACAGCTTCCCTGTCACAATAGAAGAGGAGAGGCGGCGGGACGACATTTACTAGAACCAATCAGCTGCATTTTCCTCCTGCAGCCACTGAAAGCCAGCTTCTCCTCCTCTCCCTCGCCACATTCAGCAGCTTCAGGAGGAAAATACAGCCAATTGATTCTAGTAAATGCTGCCCCCCCCACCACCTCTCTTTCTGTTGCCACGGTCTTCCTTGTGCCCCCTCCATCTCTTCAGTGCTGCCAGCTTCCCTCCTCTTCATTAGGCTGCTGAGAACTGAACTGAACTAAAATGTCTTTACTATTCTTCAGCTTGTGAATGAACAGGAAGATGCTCAGCACTTCTCATTCATTCACTGTCCAGTGCAGCTAAGGCTGCAAAAAAAGGGACTGGGGAATGTCTGTCCACACTCCCTTTCTCTGTCTCAAAATTGAGACATCAGGGGTCTGTTTAGACCCCTGATATTTCACCAAAACCAAAAAATAAAATTGTAAAAAAATATTACAAAACTATTGACACCATCCTCTGCCCTACTGACACTGTCCACTACCCTACTGATCGACACCGGCCAATACTCTTCTGACACTGCCCTAAAGACACTGTCCATTGCCCTACTGACTGACACTGTCTACATTTAAGGTAGACTAAGTTTATATTTTTACAGTGACATTTCTTTTATTATATTTTTCCAAATTATTTTTGTTTAGTTAGGCCTTGCTAGTTAATTTCCTAAAAAAGGGGAACTGAACACCAGTTATCTTGGAACTCTTTCACGTTGTTCAGGTAGAGCTCTACCTCTCAGAGGTTGCCTACCCCTGATTTATAACCATTATAAAAGCAATTCCCAATTTTGTGGGCATATCTGTATGTCATTTAGTGCAATCAGCATCCGTTATGAATAGCTGCTGTGGGAAAATACATTTCAGGATTACCTAGGTGGAGAATGCATTGTTTTCCAGGTAGTGTATAAATAACCTGAGCTGGAAAAGATTTGTTTTGTGTCATAATATTACAAGAGGGGTATAAAGTATTGCCAGCACTAGAAATATATAAAAAGTACATATATCTTTTGGGAACAGATGTTTTAAATAAAACAAAAATACCATAAATACCTGGCTTGCAGTTCTAATGACCGCTTCTTTCCCGTTATCAGAAAGGTATGAGATGAGTTTGGTTTTACAATTTCCTGGACCTGGAAAGAATTGAATACTTAAATCGGTTATAAATATCATGCCAATAATAAGACATTAACAGCTGTTTTCTTGTGCCATCCCTACTGTAAAATATACGTTTAGTCATAAGATACTCATGTACTAAAAGTTTACAGATATAAACAGTCATTATTTCTCTGCAGTCGATCAGATTCAAACTTCCATTTTCCAGGTGGCACTTTCAGAGCATGTTTGAATTATTGGCAGTTGGGAATTAACATCAGTTCTTTGACAATGACAGGGCTGGGGTTGAACAGGCTATTTGTGCAGATTACACAGGTGCACAAGGATCTCTGGAACCTCTCATCCTCCAACCATTTTCAGGTAGATCTGGACACTGGTCACTTCTAGGGCAGGTAAAATAGGGAGAGGATTTTTCATGGTGCCCTAACCCATGGGTGGTCAACTTGTGGCCCTCCAGGTGTTGGGAACTAGAAATCCCTTGAGGCATTGCAAGGCTGACAGATACAAGCATGACTCCCCAAGGCAGAGGCATGATGGGACTTGGTAGTTCCACAGCAGCTGGAGGGTCACAGGTTGAGAACCCATGCCCTAATTATTTCCCGACTGTTAGTTATATGGTAAAATAATGACAGAACAACTTATAGAGTATAATACGTTTTTTTCCTGTGCTTAGAACTACATTTCTGGTGGTTGATGTTATGGTGCCTCGTTAAAGTGGTTGTAAACCTCAGATATGAAAAAGGAATAAAGCATATCCCTCTATAGTGAGTACTTGTCTCAATTAAAAGCTTTTCATGTCTGCTGTTTCATTCCTCTGCTATCAGCATAAGTCACTTCTGATAAGTTTTCCTGATACTAAGAGAAAAATGGCGACATGGGAGGGACCTCCGGCAGATTGACAGCCTCAGCTCTGTTCCTGGGAGCTGTGTGAAAGGGGGTGTGTCTCTTCTCTCCAATCAGCTCTCAGAACTCTCCTCACTGAGCTCTTCAGAGTGTAACTTCAGCTCTCTGCCCCCTTTTTTTTTTAAATCTCAGACAAGCTTTAAAATTCAGCACTTTGAATGAATGTAGGGGAAAGACAGCTGTAGATAGACAGGTACAACAAATGTGGGAGGATTTGTTTAATCTCTGTGTAACACCTGAGGGTGATACAACCACTTTAATTCCCGTGCCATTATCTGTTTTGCCCATCACTACCAGTTAGATTCCTAGTTCAACATTTCTTTACACATGGGAATCTGATTGACACTGAAAATTCTTAATTAAACCTGATGTTTAGGTGTGCATAGCTTTGCATAGTTATATTGCTCCAGATTTGAACAATGTAGTTATGTATGTACCATACTTGGCATATCACTGGGGAAGCAGGAATTCACTGTAGTAGGCACCACTGCCTACAGTGATTGCCAATAGCTTCCAGGTCCCAAGCTTGCTCAACAAGGGTGCCATTCACAGAACCCTTTGCATTTCTCAATGAATGCAAAAAAATATCTGATTGGACAAGGTGACAACGTGACATCACTACCTTGCCTCTTCACTTCACCAATGAAGTGATCTCTGAATGGTACCCATTATGAGCGAGCAACCTTCTGTAGTAGGGCGGTTACTCGGCATGAGACCCAGAAGCTAACAGCAAACAGCAAACACTGCTTGACCAATATAAGTATGCAAAAATATCCATACCTAAAATTCAGCATTAGGATTTCCTGATACACGAACATTGTACCATAATTCAAGCAGACCTCATTTGGCGATTGTATGCTGACTCTAAGGCTGGCCAAACATGGCTAGTTTTTCTTCACTCAGCCTATAGATTTCTCCACTCAAAAGAGGTGGATGAAGGAATCCTCCCACTGGGACATTAAATTCTGACAGGGGCAAGTGCAACTGCTGGAATACATTGATCAGTGGCTGTAGTTGATTGATTGCAGTTACTAATCACTGGAAAATGTTTCAATTAAATTTGTACAGCCCCTGCTGGAGCAACTGAAATTCAATCAGATTAAAGTGAACTTTAGTCACACAAACACCACACATTATTATTTATTTTATTTATTACATGTGGGGTATTTAGGCTAAAACAGGTTTTGGTCCCTAAGCCACCAAAAAAAGTTATCTGGAAAAACAATAGACAGGAGTATCCTGTTTCTTTCACACTCACCTGAATCCCAGCAATGTCAATTTTTTCCCGTACACTGAACTTCTGTCCCATCAACCTGAGTTTTGGAACGCAGTATAGCATCATGCTGTTAAACTGGAATAGAAACACAAAAACAGAATCGTGAATGAGTTCCTGTAATTACATCTTTCATTGTCTAAAACAATAGCTTTTAAATTGTGCTCTGGCAACAAATGTTGGGTGTTCCATCATTCTAAGGAGGGAATCGCCTGATAAACACCAAGGGATATATATATATGTAAAAATTATATAACAGTTTGCCAAGTGAAAGTCCATGTGCATTCGTTCTGTGTGAATGTTATTAGGCTCTTTCCTGTGCAGATCAAATGTTTTTTATGGATTTAAACCTGAAAATATCACATCTGGCCCCTGGGTGGAGCCTTCCTTGCTCTATCCCCAATTCAAAAAAATATTTTTGCTGCAGTTCCAATTAGATACAATACTGTTGGGAAAGTCATTAAGATCTATTTTTGCACAAAAGCAGCAGAAAGGGCTTGCAGACATATCTTGCACAGAACTTGCTTCCTGCTGGCTGCAAGTGGTAAATATAAAATATTCATAAGCAGTATATTTCTTATTTGACTTATTAAAAAAGAAACGTTATTAAAATCAGTATGACGCATCATAAAATATTAAAAATATATATTCTATTGAAGTATGAATTATATGCAAAACATGCAATTTCCCCTCTAAAATATAACAAATTATAATAGTTTTCATAGGATAATTTTTAATGATGCACAGCGGTGCAAAAACAGTTGATGATGTTTACAAGGTAAAAAGCACAAGCAGGCATACAGTAGGTATGTACCTATCTGATACATCTGTGACTTGGTTTAAATGGTCTTCTGATCATAGAACACTGGGAATCACTGGTTTAAAGATGAATTTCAGGTATGGCAATTTTCACACAGTTACACTGATCCAGCTTGGACCAATGTAAGTATGAACACTATACTGCCAAAAGTATTGGTCGGCCTGCCTTTACACACACATGAACTTTAATGGCATCCCAGTCTTAGTCCATAGGGTTCAATATTGAGTTGGCCCACCCTTTGCAGCTATAACAGCTTCAACTCTTCAGGAAGGGCTGTCCACAAGGTTTAGGTGTGTGTCTATGGGAATGTATGACCATTCTTCCAAAAGCGCATTTGTGAGGTCAGGCACTGATGTCGGATGAGAAGGCCTGGCTCGCAGTCTCCTTTAATTCATCCTAAAGGTGATCATTCGGGTTGAGGTCAGGACTCTGTGCAGGCCAGTCATGTTCCTCCACCCCAAACTCACTCATCTATGTCTTTATGGACCTTACTTTATGCACTGGTTGGAATAGGAAGGGGCCATCCCCAAACTGTTCACACAAAGTTGGGAGCATGAAATTGTCCAAAATGTCTTGGTATGCTGACGCCTTAAGAGTTCCCTTCACTGGAACTAAGGGGCCAAGCCCAACCCCTGAAAAACAACCCCACACCATAATCCCCCCTCCACCAGAATTTTCACTTGGCACAATGCAGTCAGGTAAGTACCGTTCTCCTGGCAACCGCCAAACCCAGACACGTCCATCGGATAGTAGGTGCTGTTACTACAGCAATTGTTGCTAGCTTCCAGTTAATGTGTCAAGCAGCTGCACTGCTCCTAACTATACACAGGAGGGCTCCGCTCGCACGTGCACCATTCAGAGGACATTTCACATTTTATCAATAAAAGAAAAGTATTCTCTAAAAGGATGAGATGGAAATTGTGATGCCACTTCCCCTCCTCTCCAACTCGTCAAATCAGAGAATGCTTGGATTCATTGAGAAAATGCAAAGTGTTGCCTGAATGGTCAAGAAGAGAAACACAGCGCCTTTAAGTGTAGACTGTAAGACGTATTTAATGGTCAACATAATTTAAACCACTCGCATGTAGATGGTAATAAGTAGGCTCATATGGGGTTAAAAGAGCACAACGCCTCCTGGCTGGGTTCTGGAAAAGTGAACAGGAATTCTGGCTGGACAGAAGGGAGCACTGGAGAGGTGTTGGATGAAGCCTGATGTGAAAGCCTGGCAAGTCTCTGTACACTCTGGAGCAGCGGCGATGGCGTATGACGTCATTAGCTTTCAACGCGTTTCTGAGCATGCTCAGGATCTGAGGACTGGAGAGCTCCTTTCTCAAGCATAGGGAGAACACTGATCCAGAAGGTATTATTCTGTACACAAAGGTTCTTAACCAACCACGCTATAGTGGAATGATGGCTACAGCACAGTTGTCCAGTTCTGGGAGGTCGTCATATGATGTCCTCCCAGAATGCTCCCTCCCACCCACCCCCAGTGCTCTCCTACAGGCACAGCTGATCACATGATGAGATAAAAGGCCAATCACAGCGGCCTTTTATCACAAGATCAGCTGTGTCCAATGACACAGCAGATCACCAAGTAAATACAGTTGCCAGTTATCGGCAGTACTTTGCTCACTATAACCAGCAAATGTCACAGAACAGATTGGCACTGATGATCAGTGCTGTTAAGAAATCAAAATTATGATTCGGCACTTATATTGATGGCAAGCTTGCAAAATATTTGGTTTTTATGATTAATCATAATTAATATGTGTGAATTGTCGCCTTATACCGATGATATTATTTAATTCTTCAGTAAAATAACTGAGACTAAAAGATATATAAATTAAGCTGAGAAAGTAAAATATGGGTAAGTTAGCTGAGACAGCTAACTAGCTGAAGACTATATTTAGGCATAGCTGGTTAAAAGTATCTGGTAGTAATGTCAAGGGTATTAGGAGGACTCATTATAGATTTACTATTACATTATGTATTTTAATAGTATCTGTGTGTATTTAGTATACGTTTCTAACATTGATACATATATAGTTTAGTGATTATACATTGATATGTTCTTAAGCTATATTATTCTTTAAATATATAGCTGAGGGTTACATCATCTGCTTACAATATATTATGTACATCAGCATACATATGTTCCTGTCCATCAAAAACATCATATGTATAGCATCCCCTTCCTTTGAGAAATGGCTTTGCTAAGCAGTAATAATTTCCATAGAAGGTATTAAGATCACTAACTATGACGTAAATTTGCCTCATAAAAGACCATGAGACAACGGACAAGAGAGACACTCACACAATAACACTGACACTTTGTCACACATGCACACACACGTATGAGAAGCTGGAACAGATGCTTACTGAAGACAATATCGTCATTTCCGTCTATTTCCGGCTTCTTCCCAAAAAGACATGAGAAGGACAAGAACATGAAGGACAGAACAGCACATGGCCGGACTTCTATGACAAATAATGGTGACTTATCTTTAAACTTTTGCTTGATATTTCTACAGTAGTTTTATCTACATGGAACTGTTCATAATACGCTTTACATTGTTATTTTACACCATTGTGTGATAGAATAAAATCACACTTCATTTTTTATTTCAATGGCTCTTTCATTCATAATCGCCTCAAGACACTAGAAGAAGTATTATATGTGTCTAAAATCCAACAAGTGCCCTGACAATCAGCGCCCAGCAGTGCCCAGCAGTGCCACCCACCAGTGCCACCTATCAATGCCCATCATTGCTGCATATCAGTGCAGCAGCATCAGCTCCACCTCACCAGTGCCCATCAGTGCTGCCTATTCGTGCCACCTCATCAGAGCTGCCCATCAGTGCCGCATCATCAGTTCCACCTCACTAGTGCCCATCAGTGTTGCCTATTCATGCCACCTCATCAAAGCCCATCAGTGCTGCCTCATCAACGCACATCAGTGAAGGAGAAAAATTACCTGTTTGCAAAATTTTATAATAGAAACAAAGAAAAACGTTGTTTTGTTTGCAATTTTTTTGTTTATAGTGCAAAAAATAAAACACTCAGTGGTGATTAAATACCACCAAAAGAAAGCTCTATTTTTGTGAAAAGAAAAACTTATGAAAATGTCATACGGGTACAATGTTGCATGACTGCGCAATTGTCATTCAAAGTGCGACAGCGCTGAAAATTGTCCTGGGCACAAAGGGGGTAAAAGTGCCCGGTAGGCAAGTTGTTTAAAAAAGGGGAAATGTGCATGTATTGTGGAGATCTATTGCATGTTTTTTGTTTAATCTGTCCTGACATACATTTTTTAATCCTCATTATATTTGATTAAAGTGTTTGTGAAGTTGAATTTAATGCACACTGGATGTTCTTGTATTTAAATAGAGTAATTTCACTCAGCAATATTGGGAAGTGCATCATTGTTAAAGCGGTATTACACCCAAAAGCAAACATTTATTATATTGCAGCTTACCAATTTTTAGATGTGATGGTTGCATTAGTTTTCTTTCTTAGGATGTCTTCCTTCTCTTTTAATTTGGTGAGATCTGGCCAGCAAGTCTGTTGTTTTTTTAAAAGAACAAGCTCTCTTGCAGATGTATCAGTTACAGGATTGAAACAAACCATTCAACACTGGCAGGATGCTTACAGTGATCAGTTTTATTTATTTCGGTAAAACCTTTATCCCAAAAGGAAAAAAAAAGTTTGCTGTAACTGCTTATAAAGTGTTAGTTGGAGTTTGGCTTCAATTTGTTAGTGTATTTAAAGCGGAGTTCCACCTGAAAAAAATAAAAAATAAAAGTCAGCAGCCACAAATACTGTAGCTGCTGACTTTTAAAATACAGCCACTTACCTGTCCCTCAGTCCAGCGGTGTCCTCACCCCCACTGGTTTCAACGGCCATCTTCTCTCCCTGGCGCCGGCATCTTCAGTGTGGGCACCTGGCTGTGACACCGGCCACATGTCCCAGAAGACTACGAAGAGGGGGGGGGGGGGGGGGGAGGACAACTTGCACTTTCAATCGCCTAGGTGATCACAGCGGAAGTGGAAGCAGGCACCTGCTCCCCAAAGGTGCTAATCCTTAATGGGGAGCAGGGGACAAAGGCTTAAAGCGGAACTTCCCCTTCTGGGTGGAGCTCCGCTTTTTAAATCTGCTAGTACATCTAACACTCTCCTCCCCTCAGACTGAAAATGTTGCTGTCCAAAGGTGCCCTCTGTGCTCCGTCATCCAGAGTGGGGGCACTCTAATACAGAGGTGT